ATTTGCTAGTGTACACTCTCTTCCCTGCAATTTTCCTCTAAAAAATAAGTATCGGCCTTCTGGATATGCCAGCTTTTCATCTAGAGCGAAATTTTATATTTTTTCCGAATCCTATCGCCACACCCTTTGCCCATCTAATTGGAGAATCTAGTACCAGGTTGGGAAGTATCTAGAGTACAGCTTAATATTTGAGTCCTGGGATATATGTGTCTCTTGAAGAAACACCACTTCCATAGATTGTTGATGTATTTCCCTTAACACCTTATGTCTTTTTGTTGTATTTAATCCTTTTACATTATGTCATAAAGTTAACCATATTTCTTCATCCTGTTTAACTGCTTTCCTCTATACAGTAATATCTCGGTTTACAAATGCCTCGGTTAACGTAATTTTCAGTTTACGAATGAAAATCCATTGAAAATAATTTTTTATGAATTTTTTTTGCAATACGAAGTGTATGTCAGTGCCGATTTTTAAATGCAATTGCCGGCTTATTTTTTTTTTCTTCACTATAGCTCACAGAATTAGCTTTCACTTTCCCCAGAGGTAACGTAAACTTTGTTTCTTTTTAAGAAACTAAAAGGAAACATTGTTTCTCTCAACTCGGGGAAATAAACTAAAAGAAAACTCTTTTCTTTAGCTGGGGGGAAGCAGCTGAATTTCTGAGCTATAGTGAAGTAAAAAAAAAAAAGCAGTAGTTATATTTAAAAACCGGCACCATAATAAATTAAAAAATGGCGTGGGGTTCCACCTCCCATCCATACCAAGTCCTTCCGGTCTGGTATGGATTTTGAGGGGAACGCCCACGCCAAAATAAAAAAAAATTCTCCCCTTTTCCCCCCAAAGCACCTTGTCCCCATGTTGATGGGGACAAGGGCCTCTTTCCCACAACCCTGGCTGGTGGTTGTGGGGGTCTGCGGGCAGGGGGCTTATCGGAATCTGGAAGCCCCCTTTAACAAGGGGGCCCCCAGATCCTGCCCCCCCATGTAAATGAATATGGGGTACATGGTACCCTTACTCATTCACAAAATACAAAAAGTGTAGTGTGAAAAAAGACGGGACACAGTCTTTGACAAGTCCTTTATTAAAAGAAAAAACTAGAAGATTGTCCCCCGCAGTAGATCCAACGTCAAGCACAATGCCCCGCCGTCACCCCACACTCATTCACATAAGGGGGGGGGCTTGTTAAAGGGGGCTTCCAGATTCTGATAAGCCCCCCCACAACCACCAGCCAGAGTTGTGGGGAAGAGGCCCTTGTCCCTATTAACATGGGGACAAGGTGCTTCGGGGGAGGGAAGCCCTCCTGCCCCAAAGCACCCCCGCCACCCATGTTGAGAGCATGTGGCCTGGTATGGTTCAGGAGGGGGGGGGTGGATATGGGTCTGGCATGGGTTTTGGGGGGGACCCCCACGCTATTTTTTTAAAAAAGTTTGGCGTGGGAGTTCCCCTCAAAATCCATACCAGACCCAACTGAATTCTTTTACATTCAGTTGTCATTGGGGAACCCCGCTGACAGCTGAAACATTAACACATGGTTGTCGCAACTAAAATACTGCATGACTTGATAAAATAACTCGTGGTATTTTAGTAGAGTTTACTTTTTTCTGACCTTCGGAATGGATTAATTGGTTTTCAATGCGTTCCTATGGGAAACGGCTTTTCTGTTTACAAATTCTCTGTTTTCCTGATCCTCTAGTTTATAGGACAACAGTCTGTGTTCATTTTTCATTACCTCTACTTGTTCTTCTAGTTTATTAATTACTTGTGCTTGTTTCTGCACTACTATCACTTCTTTTTCTTACTACTCATGATAGAACTTGTCCCATTTCTCGGTGTAAATCGCCATTTCGCTTTTTATGAAGTTTTCTAATTTTACGAACATATCTGCGATTTCTGCTTTTGTGGGCATTTGTAGCTTTACTTCTTGCTCCTCCATACTTTTTTTTCCTTTTTTTTCACTTTCAGATTTTGACATTTGTTGATCATTTCTGTTGGTTACCTCCCCTGACCTGTGTAATTTTCCTTTCCGTGTCTTTCTTGGGTTAGATCCTCTGGGCTTTTCTCCTGTAAAGGCATGTACTTTTTTTTCGTACTTGTATTTAAGTTCGATTGAGGGGTTTTCACTCCCCCTCTCTTAACAGATCTACTCTTTGTAGTTCTCAGAATTCTCAGGGTGAACAGGGTTTTGGTGCTAAATTCAGGTTCTCTTTTCAGCTTCGATCCTGAGTACGCTGTCCCATCCACTTCTTCTGGGGTCCCCAAACACTAGCACTGCATCCTCGGTTTCCCCGGCCTCCACTATAGCGTACAGGTATTCAAACAGTCAATATTGGGGATTTATCGCCTCCCGTGGCCGCTCACCCATCTCTGTGTGTTATTCACCTTGTCTGTTCATTGGTTGCTGGGTCGTCTTTGTGTGAGGGGGCTCCCAGGGGCGCCAGTCTCCTCTGGTCTCCTCCTTGTATCCTGTGTCTGGCTCTGTAGTGCAGTCCCCTGTGCCACTTTTTGCAGCTGTCACTGGCCCAGACTCCGCTTCACACCAGGGGATCTGCTGCGATGTTCAGGGGCTGAGCCGATGGTCCATTTAGGGATAGTGCAGGGAGGATTTGTGCTGCTCCCTCCGGCGTTTGGGTCCCAGTTCTCTGCCCGAGCACCTGACCTCCTCTGTTTCCTCCACCAGTAACCTCTGGCCACCGTACAACTCCCTGCTCAGCTCTGCCCCTTGGTTTGCCATCCGCACCAGGCTCCCCCACGTCTGAGCCTCCCAACAACTACTCAGGTAGGGGGGGGGGGGGGTGCATCGATCTTTCGGCAGGTTTGGGAGCTCCTAATCCATGCCGCTGTGGAGCGCCATGATCACTTGGCCAAACCTCATGTGGCCTTCAGATTAGCACAACAACAGTGAATAGAGAGCTTCATGGAATGGGTTTCCATGGCCGGGCAGCTACTTCCAAGCCTTACATCACCAAGTACAATGAAAAGCATTGGATGCAGTGGTGTAAAGCACACAGCCGGTGGACTCTAGAGCAATGGAGACGTGTTCTCTGGAGTGATGAATCGTGCTTCTCTGGCAATGCAATGGACATGTCTGGGTTTGGCTGTTGCCAGGAGAACGGTACTTGCCTGACTGCTTTGTGCCAAGTGTAAGGTTTTGTGGAGGGAGAGATTATGGTGTGGGGTACTTTTTTCAGGGATTGGGCTTAGCCCCTTAGTTCCAGTGAAGGGACCTCTTAAGGCGTCCGCATACCTAGACATTTTGAACAATTTCATGCTCCCAAGTTTGTGGGAATAGTTTGGGGATAAGTCCCTTGCTGTTCCAATATGACTGCGCACCAGTGCACAAAGCAGGGTCCGTAAAGACATGGATGAGTGAGTTACGGGTGGAGGAACTTGACTGGCCTGACCTCAACCCAATAGAACACCTTTGGGATGAATTAGGGCAAAGACTGCGAGCCAGGCCTTCTCGTCCAACATCAGTCCCTGACCTCACAAATGCACTTCTGGAAGAATGGTCAAACATTCCCATAGACACACTCCTAAACCTTGTGGACAGCCTTCCCAGAAGATTTGAAGCTGTTATAGCTGTGTAAAGGCAGGCATCGCAATACTTTTGGCAATATAGTGTAGGTAAAAGATCCCCAAACTGCTGCTGCTCGGGCCAGATACATCCCTGTTCTTGCAGTTAGCTGGTCCTTGGGGCACTATTCTTCTCATTGACATGAAAAACGGGATTCAACTGTTTTCACTCACACCAATGATGAGGCACAATTCCACAAACACCAACAAAGGGGCACTAGTCCCCTCACTGAGCACAAGACTTAAAGCGGAAATTCAGTCAAAATTTAGCTAAGGCTTAATCTACTATCATCCCCATTTTAAGCTTATTCTATTTAACTCTGTAAAGAAAACATGCTTATACTTACCTAATTTTGCAGCTGCTGCAGTGCAGTGATCTCTCCATTGGTGGCTTCAGTGTAGAAAAGAGATCGCTGACAACAGCTCCAAATGCCTGTGCAGTGACGTCACTCATTGACTTACTATGGGGCATCCGTTATCAGTGGCCCCTCCTCTACACTGAAGCCAGTCTGGGACCTGATCATGTGACCCGGACTGGAGCGACTTCAAAATAGGTAAGTATTAGCATCTGTTCTTTCACCGTAGATAGAGTAGTCTTCGATTGGGGGTGGGAGTAGGTTTAGCCTTAAGTTGGCTGTACATTATACAATATTCTTGTTCAATTACCTTTAGATTTACCTTCAAGTATGTAGTACAAGGGCCTGACTGATTACATACAAATTGAAAGTGTTTAGGTTTGATCTCATATTGTATAGTTTTGGTAAAGGAAAATTGCATACTGTATGGCCAGCCTTTGCTAGATTTTGACTGAACTTCCAGTTAATCTTTTTTTAATTCCCACTTTCCACCGAGGTCTGCTCCCTCTGATCCCAATCTGCCACCCCCTAAAGTCCAAGTGCCTGTTCACATATATGCGGATTAAATGTGGTTTGAACCGCATCCACTCTGCAAGACATGTGAAATAACATTGCTTCCTATGGTGCCTGTTCACATATGTCCGGTGCACTGCCAGTGCAGATTCAGTGCAGTTTTAAAAAGGGTCCTGTATGATTTCTGAGCTGTGCGGTCCAGTTCAGGTGCGGATTACAGGCCATTGACTTCTGTAGGGACCGTTTATAAACCGCATATGTGTGAACAGGTTCAAATCCTCAGCTAATCCTGTCCTGAACCTTATGTAAACCTGTCATGAACCGCAGAACATCTACTGTGTCTATTAGCTGTGAAAGCTGTGCTTCAATATGCACCGCACATGTGAGAATCCACTCTTAAGGACAGTAAACTTTCCCTTTATTTAGGATGTTTGAGGACCCCACCCTGGTCTTGACTTTTTTGTTGTTTGAGGATACACTGAATGTAATGACAGTTGAATGTTCTGATGCTTTTTAAAACATGTTCTTTTTTTCTTAAAGGAAACATTGTTAGCAATGCAAGCTTCAGTTGTACCACGTTCCCCAAGTTCTCCGCTGCACAGTGTTTCTCTGCTGAGCAAGTCTTTTCCCCAGCTGCCTAACCCACGAAGGAGAAGACATGGGGGAAGAACCAAGGACCCCTGGAATACAGCCAGCCTTACTGGTATCATACTTCCACAATTTAGAAACACAAAAACAATCTGTGCTTCTGTTTGGCCACCAGACAATTTGTTTAAAACAATAATTCATGATTAAGGAAGCTTTCACATTTATGCAGTGCTGTTTTCCTGCAGCGCAGTGTACCGGCAGTTTTTGTGCCAATTACTTGTGCTTTGCAATAGACTTCTGTTAGATTTGGCGGTTTTGCTGCATTTTCTGAAAGTGCACCACAATTCTTGCATGCGGAGATTTTGGTCCACTTTCAGAAAACACCAAAACAGCCCAATTTGACAGAAGTCTAAGGCAAAGCGTAGGTAACCCGCAAAAAAAACGCAGGTACACTGTGCTGCACCCACACAGCGGCAAAACCAATACAGTGTGAAAGTGCCCTAACAAAAATACATGAATGAAGTGTTTCTTCTGTGTGTTCAATTGTGTGTCAAATTAATCAAAATTAAAAATTGACTAGTTTTAGTGTTAAGTCCCCTTGAATAGATTTTCTGGTGTTTCTGTCTTTGATATTGAATTTTAGATTGTAATATCTGATTGCAGTAATGATGTTCTGAATCTGCAAGATAAGGTAGAGCATTGCAAAATTTACTAGGATCTACTGAGTGTAATAGAGGAACACTTGCACTTTAATACATAGAGAAGGCAGAAGCAGTAAACACGTTTTGTTTTCTGCTCAGAGATCATTTTATCTTCCATTAGCTGTTTGTAATTAACCTCAAAAGTTCTTTCAGTGAAAAGTATAAAGTAATTGGAATGAATTACATGCCCCACTTCTGGGATACATTCTGTGGTCTGACTTCCTTCATTTAACACACAAATTAAACCAATATATAATCTGCATATAAGGTTTTATGATATACAGTATGTGAGACTTGGTAATGCCAGGCTTGAAGACATGTTGCATAATTTTTTAAATTATAATAATTTTGCTTTTCCTAGGTGACGACTGGAGCTCCTACAGTCTATCTTCAGCTGCCAGTAACATCCTACTTCGCTCACCCCTGGAATCTGCCAGTGGAATACCCACTCCAGATGATACCATACACTCATTGCCCTCATGTGTACGAAGTTCCAGCAGAGCTGTGCTGACTGTCAGCACCAAGACCACACAGGTACTCCTCATGCCTTCTGCCTGTGCTTTATCTAGGGCTATCCAGACCTAATGGAGACTTGAACTAAGACCCCCTTCTGGAAATAATGATATATTACTCTAAATTAGCCTTTCATAAACTTTTTTTAGTAGAGGACAACTGAAATAATTTATAGGTCTTAGGAAACTTCTGCTAAAAATATCTGCATCTCTTGGGGCATTTGCATGATCAGTAAGGTGTACATTTTAATAATAAAGGAATGTGAAATATGTTGTACCTAAAACATTTGACACCCAGAGTGGATAATTGTTTTACACCCCTTCCACTAGATAACATTACATTGGTGGTCAGTGAAAGATACCTCATTACATTAGCTGTCATTTCAGAAAAGCCTCTTTTATATTAGTGGTCAGTGAGAAAGTGACTTTCTTAGCAGTGTCAGATCATAGCCACTACTACCTATATGTGACAAATGGCAGTTCAAGTCTCACTGTGCTGCCACCAATATGTGGCAATAACGCTCTCAGCCTCAGCCTGTACAGAGATTTTACAGATTGTGGGAATCACAATTTTGTGCTTGCAGACCGAGTGATGAACACTGAAGTTGGTTGATTACAAAGTTAACCTGTTACAGACCAAAACAGCTGCTACCTTTTTGTTTTTTTGGAAATGCAAACCAACAAGTCTGACCATTAAAGAAATGTCTGTAGTACCTGCTGTTGCTCAGACTTCCAGAGGTGGACACTAAAGCAGCACGTTTCAAAGAGACAGAAATCCTTTAGGTTTTGGCTTAGTGCATTAGAGATGATTTTAGTTATTTTAAAATCTTTTTTATAGAAGAAATGGCAAAACCGGTGCAAACAAAATATGTACAGTAAATGGATATTACAAACTACGGAAGAATAGCAACAGAGAAATAAATAGGAATAAAAAAAATCCTTAAAGGATAAGTTCACCTTTAGCAACATGTTTAATATTACACCTGTATTTCGGGTGTGACATGTTGGTAAACACCAGCCCTTCTCGCCCTCTGAGCCCCCCTGTGACAGCAATTGGGGGTTCCTCTCCCCCGCAGTTGCTGTCACATGTAAAATTGGCATGGCTCTGTGATCTGTGAATGATTTAACTACAAGTCTCCACCTCTGCAGACAGACTTGCAGTTCTCAGTGGACTAAGCATATGCTGATCAGCTCCCGAATAGTTCATTGACACTTCCTTCAGCTCAGTAACTGACAGCACGTATAGAGGTATGGCAGAGAGCTGTAGGAAATGTCTTCAAGAGCCTGACATTGCACCTGCAAAAAATAATAATAAATGAATATTTTTTACCTGAAAAGACGTGTGTTTGTGTATGTATGTATATATATGTATGTGTATATATATATATATATATATATGTGTGTATGTGTATATATATGTGTGTGTGTGTGTGTGTGTATGTATGTGTGTGTATATGTATGTATGTGTGTATATATATATATATATACATTAATATTTTGGGTATACCACATGCCTCAAATAACCCACAATTTATCATGCAGCATGAAATTGTCTTTTGAACAAGACTACTTATGACTTACTCTTGAAATGCACCTTCCTAAGAAGAAGTAATATATCTTACGTGCCTACTGCTGTTCATAAGATGGGGTGTTTACTCTTTAAATAATGGTGGTGGTATTCTACATTTAGTGGAACCACTAACCTAATTTAATCACACCAGAAGTTATGAATTATTTCTAGATTTTAACGCAACAGAACATGTTGATTTTGCATTCCACTGCCTGATAAAACCTTTACAATGTGCTGTAAAACCTGCTTCTGTGAGGATCCCCCTCAGACAAGGATGTATATTGCCTTAATGCCTGCTAAGATATTTACAACATGTCTTAATGAGGTTTTAAACCCAGTCTTGGATAAGCAAGCTGGGATGGGGTATATTGTAGGCCTCATTAGCATATTCTTGTCTAAATAATGTTGCTACTCCTTTTAAAGTTTCTATTCAGCTTAAAGGTTGTTGGAATAAAATTCAGGATGTCTGGAGGCCAAGGTGTATGATAATCCTACAGACAAAAGATTTGTATATAACTTGTCTAACAGACTAGCAAATGTTAAACAATAGGGGTGCTACAATATTTCTGACTCAGTTTTTTTTGGGTCACAAAACTCATTGCTGTCATTTGGAGGTCAGTGGAAAAGTGCCCCTCTTGCACTGAAGGTCAGTAGAAAAATACTGGAGATCAGTGGAAAAGAGCCTCTAATACACTGGAGGCCAGTGGAAAATGCTTCTTTAATTAAAAACATCAATTCCTTTTAAACGTTTCCCTTTACATTGGAGTTCAGTCGAAAAGGTGCCCAATTACATGTGAGGATCATTGTGAGAGGTGAACCATTACAATGGTGGTCAGTGGTAGGAAGGAAAAACCCAAAAACAAAGCCAGCACTTCCCACACTGCCAGAGTGGTAACAATTCAATAAACCTCTTCATGATCAAATCTAGCCTTTGTAGTGTCTTTACTCTCATGGTTTATCTCATGGTTGCACTCCCCCCTCTATCCACTGCAATAAAAACAGAGTGCAGATATACTATCACTGATTTTTCAACTATGCAGCTCCAAGATGTAATCCAAAAACAACTGTCCTAAAGCCTGCTGTTTGCTGACATCACTCAGTTTGTCCAGGCTGGGGAAAGATCATGTTGGGATGCACCCAGATGCCTAGACAGGCAGCTGGATCAGCCTCTCAGCGAGCCGCTCCTTCCCTCTCCTCAGCCCGGTGCTCTAATGAGCACAGGAGGGGCAAGCAGAAAGCCGGTGACTGACAGTCACCAGCTCTCTGCTCAGTGAAATTTTGAGAACTGACCGATCAGTGGTATTTGATCCCAACCAACGTTGCAAAGTCCTGCTTTCTGGACTACAGGACTCTGCCTATACCGGACTACAGGACTCTGCCTATACCGCACTCCTCCATGTCCCACTCCACATACAGTTGTGGCCAAAATTATTCAACCCCCAATGCTGTAAAGGGGTTTAGGGACTATAGTGTACATTTGGAATTGTATTCAGAATCAAATCCTACAAGGACGTTGTAACTACCCAAATGCAACTAAAATGACATCAATTGTTTATGTAATACAGTAGTAAATGGTTCTTATGTGGTTTCTTCATTGCCACAATTATTCAACCCCTTAAAGACTACCACTCTGAAGAACAGAGGTTCATACAGGTGCTTTCCATCAGGTATTGAAAACACCTGTGGATGTCACCGAGCAGCAATCAAGCATAATAAGCACCAATTAGGCAGCTTTAAAATGACTGTGATACTCAGCTCCTTCTAGACATTTACTGGTGTGGTTACAAACATGGTGAAGGCAAGAGAATGGTCCAGGAAGACAAGAGAAGAGGTGATTTCTCTTCACAGGAAGGGCAATGGCTATAAGAAGATTGCAAAGATGTTAAACATACCAAGAGACACCTTAGGAGCATCATTCGCAAATTCAAGGCAAAGGGCACTGTTGAAACGCTACCTGGTCGTGGCAGAAAGAAGATGCTGACTTCGACTGCTGTGCGCTACCTGAAGCGTAGAGTGGAGAGAAGTCCCCGTGTGACTGCTGAGGAACTGAGAAAAGATTTGTCAGATGTGGGTACAGAAGTTTCAGCCCAGACAATAAGACGCACACTGCGTAATGAAGGCCTCCGTGCCAGAACTCCCAGGCGTACCCCCTTGCTGTCTCCAAAGAATAAGAAGAGTCGACTGCAGTATGCCAAAAGCCATGTGGACAAACCACAAAAGTTGTGGGATAGTGTTCTGTGGACTGATGAAACAAAATTAGAACTGTTTGGGCCCATGGATCAACGCTATGTTTGGAGGAGGAAGAACAAGGCCTATGATGAAAAGAACACCTTGCCTACTGTGAAGCATGGTGGAGGGTCAATCATGCTTTGGGGCTGTTTTGCTTCTGCAGGTACAGGGAAGCTTCAGCGTGTGCAAGGTACCATGAATTCTCTTCAGTACCAGGAGATATTGGATGGAAACGTGATGCAGTCCGTCACACACCTGAGGCTTGGGAGACGTTGGACCTTTCAACAGGACAATGATCCCAAGCATACCTCCAAGTCCACTAGAGCATGGTTGCAGAGGAAAGGCTGGAACATTTTTGGAGTGGCCATCGCAGTCACCAGACTTAAATCCGATTGAGAACCTCTGGTGGGACTTAAAGAAAGCAGTTGCAGTGCGCAAGCCTAAGAATGTGACTGAACTGGAGGCCTTTGCCCATGAAGAATGGGCGAAGATACCCGTAGATCGCTGCAAGACACTTGTGTCAAGCTATGCTTCACGTTTAAAAGCTGTTATAACTGTAAAAGGATGCTGTACTAAGTACTAAGATTGAATGTCACTTGGGGGTTGAATAAAACTGATAATGCTGTGAGCACAGAAAAGACATTTGTGGTTATTTCATTATAACTGTTATGTTATATTTGTCTGACCTACAAGTGCCTCTTTAATGTAAATGTAAGCAAGATGACTGAATGATCAAAAGCAATGTCAAACTGGCCAAAACACTCAATTTCAGTGGGGGTTGAATAATTTTGGCCACAACTGTACGTGCATACATACATACATACATACATTTGCTTTCTTACCTGACAAAACAACACTGCTGCTTTTACTGCTAAGACTCTTCCTGCATAATGTGTGTAGGTAAGAGCTGCACTGAACTAACCTCCTAGAAGCTGCCCCTGTATTTTACAAAACTGGTGATGATGTTACAGAGAGTAATAAAAGCTGTTTCACACTTCAGGAACAAGTTGAAGGACAAAAATAATGCTGGGACATGTTTAACCATTAGCCGCCCGGCCAATGGCCGTTTGGCGGCTTCAAATGTGCTCCTGTATTCCGGGTGCACGCCATTTGGCGTGCTCCCGCACATGCACGGTTTGCGCTAATGCAGAGCGGCGCAGCAGTGCGATCTGTCACCGCCCGTGCACCTCGGACACGGCCGATGACAGATCCGAGTACCGGCTCCCGTTGCTGGTACCATGTGACGTGCTGTGACCAATCACAGCAGGTCACATGACAGTTGTATACAATGGATGGCTTCATTCATGATGCCATCCATTGTATACTAGTGCCTAGCTGTGAATGGTCACAGCTAATCACATGCACATGTCATGTGATTAGCTGTGACCAAATCACAGCTAAGCACAAAAAAAAAAAAAAAAAGCTGAATGAATTGATTTCATTCAGGTAAATGCTTGCTTATAGCAAAGTAATTCTTTGCTATAAGCAAATTATGTAAAAAAAAAAAAAAAAAAAAATACTGATCACTTCCCCAAAGTAGTACAATGTTACTATGGTAACATTGTACTACTTTAGTCATAGTAAAATATGAAAAAAAATCTTAAAAAAAATAAAAAAAGTAATAAAAAATTAAATATAATAAAAAAATAAAAAAAAAAAAAAATTTTTTTTCATACTGTCACCAGTCAGTGTCCCTGTTCACCGCCATGCCAGTTATATGATGACGCTGTACTGCACTGGTGACAGTATGTAAAAAAAAAAAAAAAAAAAAATAGTGAAAATAATTTTTTTAATTTTTTCATTTTCCGAAAAATTATGACAAAAAAATACAACTTCAAAAAACTCGCCATGCCTCTTATGAAGTACGTCGGACTGTCTACTCTGCAAAAAGGGGTCATTTGGGGGATATCTGTACTGTTCTGACATTCTTGGACCTCAAGAAATTAGATTGGCTGTCAGTACTTCAGGATTGATCAATATTCAGATCTATACCATAGTTTGTGAACTCTATAACTTTCCTACAAACTAAAAAATACATCCTAATTTGGGTTATTTTCACCAAAGACATGTAGCAGAATACATCTCGGCCTAAATTTATGAAGAACAATTATTTATTTGTAAACTTTTATAACAGAAACAAAGAATAATGTGTTTTTTTTTTCAAACTTTTTGGTCTTTTTTTGTTTAGCAAAAAATAAAAACCCCAGCGGTGATTAAATACCACCAAAAGAAAGCTCTAGTTGTGTGAAGAAAATGATAAAATTTTAGTTTGGGTACAGTGTTGTATGACCGCGCAATTGTCATTCAAAATGTGAGAGCACTGAAACCTGAAAAATGGCCTGGGCAGGAAGGTGTAAAATTGCACGGTATTGAAACGGTTAAGATGGAGGTTAGGGGGAAAAGCATGCATTGTCTGGCCTTACCCTTGACTTTTTTTTGTTCTTCTTAGCCTGATACCAGTATTCATTGTTTCTCTTGGAACACAGACATGTGTTGGGTGAATACAGACAACACAACCTACTGGTGTCACAGTTTAAATTAGGCCTATGGCTTGCATGCAGCTTTAAAATAATTCACTGGTTGTCAATTTAAATGGCAAGGCTACGTCTGTTAATGTTTTTTAAACAACATCCTTTGTAGAGGAATAATATTGTTTTCAGACTGCCATGTGTCTAACAGAATGCTCTTATTGTTCCTCTAGATTTTAATGGCCAACGATAAAGCCTGCAGACTATTTGGCTATAGCAGTCTTGAGTTAATTGGAATGGGTCTGTCCAGTCTGATTCCTGCATCCAGCCACAGAATTTCGGAGGTTTTAGAGGAGGAGCTTACAGAAGCTGATGGCATTTCACGGGTACCTGGAGAAGTAGTAAGTGTGTCCTCATTAGTAAAGATTTTATAGGGAGTGCACCTTAACAGAATGAATTGTGACTGTTCTACAATATAAATCATTTAAAGTGTGTCATACAGTATTAGGAGCATCTTGCTTTGATTTGTAAGTAAATTGCCATTACTAATAGACAGGTGAAAGGCCAACTGACATCAGTATAATCATGTCACCTTTCAGGGAAACTGTTAAGACCACCTTTTAACTATAAAATAATAAATTCACGTATTCGTGCAGGTAAAAAAAAAGTGCATTTATTTATTTTACACAGGCGCTTGCATAGTATTACATGCACAATTAGTGGATCGTGGGTGGCATGTCAGGCTCCTGCACATTCACCCTCCAGCTTTCTGTCCATCTTCTACAGGAGTTTTGATTTGAAAGCTGGAGAAAGATTCAATGAAGTACAAGCGCACTGATTAGCGCACTTGTAGTGTATTGAGAACTATAAGCCGCCGCCACAGTGGCAGATGAGACTTGTAGTTTATTCGTTTACTACAGTGAATGAATGTCACAGCTGTGCAAGCAATGTTAAATGTGAGAGCAGCTGAGGGGGAGAGGAACCTCCGTCCCCCAGTCACGTGGCGGGAGCTCAGGAGGCCAGGCAGGCTGCTGGAACCAGTTACACGTTACACCCTAAATATGGGTGTAACATAACATGTTGAAAAGGTGAACTTATCCTTTAGGTAGGTACAGTCTGTGTCAGCAGTTACACAGAGCGATTACATTCTCCTGTTGACAGTGTTACGGCCTGGTCATTGACTGATCAGGCCTAGCCTCTGTATCCTGGGTCAGGTTCTCCCACATTTTTAAAAGCACGGTGTATTTCTGAGATCTCTAAAATGAGAATAGAGAGATGGGGAAGTGTGGCAAAGATCAATATCAGTGGGAGGTTTTGTTCATAAAAATCATCACTTTGGCCCTCCATGGGTAAAAAGACATGTTCTTTTTAAGGGATGTTTTACCAGCGCCATATACTTCAGCCCTGAATATCTGTAGTGACTTGTCTCTCCTCCCAGACAATCAATGCAAATTGTTATTGCCTATTTAAAGCCTAGGCTACAAATTAATTACAGCCTCTCTTCATATACATTTATGTAGTATGCATACACAGTGTGGTTTTTAAAGCTAGAAGAGAATCTGCTGTTTAATATTCAGAAATATAACTGATAAATAAAGCTGCTTTAGAAAGGATGTGCTTGAATCCCTTGAGACCCACACTGTTCGTATGCAGTGTTTTGAAGTGCAGATGATGCAGGCTTTGCCTGGGGAATCATAAAACATCTGTTCATTGGAAGTGTTAGATCTCTATGTACAGGCTTTTACTGTTCTTGAAGAGAACAAAATGTAAAGACATTTGATCAAGGTGGGAATACATAATCTTCCTTTGGGCATTTTGTAAGAATGTCTCCATAGGGAATGAAAAAGCAGCCAATTTAAAAATCAAAATTTCTGCTAACATTTGAAGATATTCAGGCTGCAACTCTGTTTAACCAATCATATGCATTGTAACCATATTTAGGATACCTCATTCGTAGAATAAAAACTTCTAAGCTCTTAGTGGTTGTCCTGTTCCTGACCAAGCACATCCAGTACTGTATATGTCACTTTTAATTATATATGGAAACTACTTTTTATATATAGACTGCTTGCAAACCACATCCCTGGTATGGATTATATAATGGTTTATATATAAAATCTATTTATCCACTACCATTAGGATAAGAGATTACAAATTATAATTATTAATATTACAGTACAGGATTTGCATCGTATCAGCAGCTTGTGCAACACTTCACAAAATGAAGGGAGACAGTACAGGTATAATACAATTCTATACAGAGGAGTAAGAGGGGCTGCTGATCAGAGCTTGCAATCAAAAAGGCAAATATAAGGTTAGAGATTGTGTGTTTTTGTTTTTTGTATGGTTCATGAAAAACTCTTCTTAGCTTGATTTACATTCATATTGTTTCTATGAAGTTCTTTTAAAATTACCCCATAGACATTTTCCATGGATCATTGGGTTGCAGTTAAAAGAGTGGGAGTATGGGAAGTGTGGGATTAAAAAACCCCCCAAAAAACCCAAAACATTCTCCCCTAGTTGGATGCTGCATTTGTCCTCTGGCGTCTCTAAGACTGCTGATCTCTCAGTCTTCACTGAGTAGAGATCCGGTAACTGTCAGTCATCGTCACTTTGCTCTGCCCCTTTGGGGCACTGAGCTGTGGAAAGGGTGGGAGCAGCTGGCTCAAGCACTCAGCAGCTCGCTGACAGGGAAAGCCAGTTCAGGCATTTAGGTGGATCCAGACATTAAAGTTGGGATCTCTCCAGTGTCTGTACCTGTACCTGAGTGATGTCGGCCAACAGCAGACTTTAGCCCGCTGTCAGCTGAATACGGGTCACAGGAATGCATAACTAAGTGCTATCCTGTTACTCACAGGAGAAGTAATACCAAAAGAGCTTTGACCCATACTTATCCTTTAATACATAAGTATATACCTGTTTAAGTCTGTATTCAGTAGATGCATCTTTTGACAATTATTACAACCATTTATTTGTGCATGTACACCTGTATGTTTTCTGTACCTGGAATCATTTGAATATAGTATGTTATAATCATGTTTACACTTTGAGAGGAGAGTCCTTTCAGCAGGTTACATAATTATTGTTTTTTTTTAAGGGTAATTTTGTTATTAGTTTCCAAGAACAAACAACTACATCACATTGTATGACAGTGGTACACCGTAGAATCAAGTACAGAGGTGTTCTGAATACAAAATGCCATACAGTAAAGTAAACAAAAGCGTTGCATTTGTTCATTAATGACAGAGGGACCATATGAGGCACCAGAATCAGCCATGAGGATGAGTACATAGAAATCTTAGTGAAATAACAAAAAGAGGAAAAAAAGCAAATAAAAACATAACAACATATTGCTGATAATCACTGCAGACCATACAAACAGAGGGCCATGTTGACTGCACTGAATTAGGAGAAACCTACCCCAAAGGTAGGTAAATATCCACCGTAAGAAAAAGACCCAGAAAATCCTTATACCTAGAGGAAATATAGCAATTGCATATCACTATCCCCAGACACGGAGGTAAGTCACCCAGACCAAATCCTATCAAACTTCTTTGGACACTTCTAGAAGCATGTGTCAAAGCTCCATTAATAAGATCAATCCAAAATTAAAGGGTCTTTCCATTTACGTGCTAATGCCTTCTTACCATAAGAAAAACAATATCTAAAGCAATGCTTTCTGTGAACCACTCAGGTCCTCCTCAGTAAAATCTTCCAAGCATCTAGCTGGGGTGCAAATATTCTGAAGTGCTAAATTTTCCGCCAGAAAACGGAGAATGGCAGTCCAAAAAAGTTTGACCCAGGGACAGATCATATGAAAAAAAAATCTTCTGAATCACAATGGCACTGCAGGCATTGTGGGGAATTTTAAATAGCCTGCTAGGAGTGTAATAAACACTATGGATACAATTTAATTGGATTAATTTATCCCTAGCTGAAATGACCGTGGAAAGCTGAGTATCCACAATATCATCCCATGCCTCCTCAGCGAGCAATGGAATATTCCCCTGCCATTGCCTAGAGATCTACTCTATTCTAGTAGAAGAAGCATAGAGTAGCTGTGAATAGCATGTAGAAACTAGTTTAGAGCGGTCTTCTTCAAATAAAAGAGCCTCCAATTGAGATGGTTGTAAAGAGACATTTGTCAGCACAAACTTTGCCACCACTGAGTGGCAAAATTGAATATAGGGAAATAAAAAGTGATTGGGAACTCTGAATTCTGCCTGCATTGACTGAAATGACTTAAAGTGGTTGTAAAGGTTCAAGGTTTGTTACCTTCATGCATTTTGGGAGAGCCTGGAGGGACCCGAGAAGAGGAGGATCTGGGCTGCTCTGTGCAAAACCACTGCACCTTGCAGGCAAGTATAACATGTTTGTTACTTTTAGAAACAAAAAATGTAAGAGTTTAGTATTGCTATAAACACCCCCGGTCCTGAAATAATTGATGTGTATATTTAATACCAAAATATGCACAGCAGCTCCCATCTAGATTTTTACCGATTTTTTTTTTTTTTTTTTTTTTTTTTTTTTTTTTTTTTTTTTTTTCCTCTGAGAGTTGCACCATAGTGGCATATTGGGGGAAGTAATGAGTGGAGCCTTCTACCTTATGATTACACATGTAAAATATCTGTAAGATATTCAAAGAATATCTTCACCCTCATCAGGATAAGGTCCATTTCTATAAAGGACAATAATCATAAGCCTACATAAGAGCATAAGAGCCACCTGAGTAGCCACAGAGGCATTATCCAGATTGGGAAAGAACCACCAGTGAATATTTGTTAACTGAGCCGCTAAATAGTAACATTGGAGATTGGAAAGTGCTAATCCACCTCTCCGGGTAGGTAAATGTAGGGTATTCGTAGATATGCGAGGGGTGCATTACTCCCACAGAAAAGAGGACAATAACATATTTATCTGTAAACACCTTTTTAGGGACATTCACTGGTGCATGCCATAAGATATACAAAAATCTAGGGAGGAAAATCATTTTAAATCATTTTGTCTCTGCTTAATAAATTCAAGGGTAACTTCAACCAGGTGGAAAAATGATCCTTTAGACCACAGGTTTCAAACACAAGGCCCTCAGGCCGAATCCGGCCCTCCAGGCCATTTCATGTGGCCCTTGCACCTCACCTGCAGGGTACCCCCTTGTCTCCGCCCCCACCTTGTCTCAGCAGTCAGCAGAGAGGAGAATAGAATTCCTCTGTCAAATACTGCACCTCTCAGTGCAGCTGCAGCACCCCCTCATCTCTGCCTCCCCTGGTCTCAGCATTCAGCAGACTCTGGTAACTGACTCCACTTCTCCTCTGGTCCTCCTCTAGACCCTGCACTCTCTGCTTTCTAGCTCTGCCCCCAAAGGGGGTGCACAGTGATGTTAGGGAGAATGTGGGATTCTTGACAT